GGCCCACTTTAAGAGTCAAAACTACCCTATAATTTTTATCAACCATCAGGTAGAACATTACAAATATCCAAAACATATTGCTTCAAATAAACCAACCATTACTTCTAACTTTCACTAATCAGTTAAGACAATAAAGATAGTCAATATTTGTAACTACAGATTATATTCTTAATCAGCCATTTATCAAGTATCAGTAAAGGTTCACAGAAAAGAAGGCAGAAAGAAATAATATATGAACAAATGTGTGTTATTGTTGTTGTTTTTCTTTTGCAGTTCTTGGAGGGAAAATCGACCTCTGAGGGAGGGAAGTGTGAGGGGCCACCATAGCAACTTTAAAAGGGGAATAGGCAGGTTCATGGAGAATAAGTCTATCAATGGCTACTGGCCTTGGTGGCTGAGGGGAACCTCCATGTTCAGAGGCAATCAGCCTCTGAATCCCAGTGCCAGGAGGCAGCATCAGGGGAAGGCCTTGGGCTCTCTGCCCTGTTGTTGGCCCTCCAGAGGAACAGGTTGGCTACTGTGCAAGACAAGATGCTGGGCTAGATGGACCACTGGTCTGATCCAGCAGGGCTCTTCTGGTGTTCTAATAAAGGCCTCAGCCTCTCTGCCCTGTTGTTGGCCCTCAAGAGGAACTGGTTGGCCACTGTGCAAGACAAGTTGCTGGACTGGATGGACCACTGGTCTGATCCAGCAGGCTTCTTCTGATGTTCTAATGAAGGCCTCAGCCTTTCTGCCCTGTTGTTGGCCCTCCAGAGGAACTGGTTGGCCACTGTGCAAGACAAGTTGCTGGGCTAGATGGACCACTGGTCTGATCCAGCAGGGCTCTTCTGATGTTCTTATGAAGGCCTTGGCCTCTCTGCCCTGTGTCGTTGGCCCTCCAGAGGAACTGGTTGGCCACTGTGTGAGACAGGATACTTAGCTAGATGAACCCTCACTGGTCTGATCCAGCAGGGTTCTTCTAATGTTTAAATAATAAACATACTTCCTTGGATTCTTCAGCAGGTATAAGGGTGACTGTTTGTGTCTGCCAGGTTAAAAACGCACCGGTCTGCAAAATAATCCGGGACACAGCTAGGATTTGCCAACTCAAGGTTGGGAAATTCCTGGAGATTTGAGGACAAAGGCTGGTCGGGTGAAATTAACTGTGGGAAGGGAACGCAGGAGGGATGTGATATCTTAGGGCCCGCCCTCTGAAGCTGCCATGTTCTCCAGGGGGAGCCAATCTGTATAACATGGAGATCGATTATGTTTCCAGGAGAAGCGTGTAATGGGGCTGGTCTCTTAGCTGCAGGACTGCATTCCTCCCCCCCCCCGGTCCCCTCCCCTCTCTGGTTGTCATTCCTCTCCTTCATTTACTCATCGTTAACCCACAGCTTCATTTGCATTTAAGGCTTATCAGATTCTCCGCTGAACCAGAATGCCTAACTACCTTCAGGCCCTGGTTAAAGAATCCTGTTTCACCCCTAACTGGGGGAACCTTGTCAGTCCTAACTGCTGCCGAAGCCCGTGCCAACGTAAGAGGCCTAACTGCACCCAAGAGGGAGGCCTCGTTTCGTCTGCGCCAGCCCTCCTCAAAACTGTCACTGCGGGTTTCCTCCTTCCAAAGGAAAAAAAAAATTTCCCCTTGAAAGGATGAAATTAAGAGATTTATGGCTAAGCCTTCTTCGATGCCGGCGAACTCACTCGGGGGTTCTTTCTCTCAAAAGCTTCTTCAGCCTCTTTGCAAAAACCCCACAACGGTAGATCCAAGAAAGGCCCCGTGCGCCGGCAGAGAAAGACACAGAGGAAGGACAACTCTGTTGACTGGAAAGCTGCATTCAGAGGGCGATGCGCGGCCATAAGCATTGTTGCCATCTTTGTAGTTGTTGTCCAGTCGCACAGTCGAGTCCGACTCTTCACGACCTTGTGGACCACATCACGCCAGGCCCTCCTGTCCTCCGTCATGCTCAGGAGTTTGCTTAATTTCATGTTCGTTGCCTCGATAACACCGTCTAACCATCTCATCCTCTGCCGTCCCCTTCTTCTTTGACCTTCTGTCTTTCCCAGCATCAGGGTCTTCTCCAGTGAGTGCACCCTTCTCATTGGGTGGCCAAAGTCTTTGAGCTTCAGCTTCAGTCTCTGGCCTTCCAGGGAACAGTCTGGGTCGATTTCCTTTAGGATTGACTGTTTCGATCTCTTTGCAGTCCAGGGGACTCTCAAGAGTCTTCTCCAGCACCATAATTCAAACGCATCTATTCTTCGGCGCTCGGCCTTCCTTACGGTCCGACTCTCGCAGCCGTACATGACTGGCCATCTTTAGGAGAAGCCTACAAATGAGTCCAGCTGAAGGTCCCTTGCAGCCAAATGATTCCAGTTACTCCGAATCCGCAGGTTATTTCGGAGCACGCTTGTGAGCTTTAGATGTAAAGTTGCTGCAATGTTTCCAGCGCTGTTTTAATCTTTCAGGTGAGGCTCCGGGAGACACTGACGCTACCCGCGGGCCGATGAGCGTGGCGGAACTAGAGCGTCCTGCTTCTTCCACCGCTCAGGAGGCAGATAGCAGGCGGACGTCTCAGCCGGAGGAGGCATCCCAGGTAACGTACACGAGCTTGTTCCGTAGCCCCGTATTGAAACGTCTGTGTTTACGTGAGCGGGCTCAGACTCCTGATGCTCATGCCTGTGGAAGCCAGGGGAGACCGAAAGAAGAAGAGGAGGAGATTGCATTTATACCCTGCCCTTCAATACTCGAAGGAGTCTCAGAGCGTCTTACAAACTCCTTTCCCTTCCCTTCCCCTCTCCACAACAGACACCCCTGTGAAGTAGGTGGGGCTGGGAGAGCTCTCTCGAGGACTGCCCTTGAGAGAACAGCTCTGGCAGAACTATGGCTTGCCCAAGGTCATCCAGCAGCTGCAAGTGGAGGAGTGGGGAATCAAACCCGGCTCTCCCAGATTAGAGTCCACACCTGGCTTCAGGTGTATAGGCTTGTTGGTCTGCAGTCCAAGAGCAAGAGTCAAGTCTAGGAGCACATTAGAGAGCAACAAGATTTCCAGGGTATTACCTTTCGAGCATTCAGAGCTTCCTTTGTTTATGCCTGCCGATTCTCCCAGACCTAGTTGTGGTGTTTGTAGGATGCAGCCTGTGGTGTGCGTCGCTCCTTCCCGGGCCAGGCATTCGCTGGAGGGTTGCATCAGAGAGACTGTTCCTCCCGGGATTCCCCCTGTAGAAGAAATTTTAATTTTATTAGAGAAATAAGACTGGGAGACGTATAGGGGGAAAAAATTGAAAAATTGAAACCAGATACGAACATCAACGAAATACAGCACGAGGAACAAAACAGGCAAAAGAGAGGGAAAAGAAAAGGGGTCATAGAGGCTTCCGATTTTCTCAACAAGTATAATTTTGGTTACAGAATTGTCCTTGCTTATATATGGAATCAAGAACTCTCTCTTTTTAATTTCCCTTAGGCAAATTTCTTATTCAGAAATTCCACAGACCATGCTTATCTTTTTAATGCAATCTCTAATAAGTAAAATGATTTGGTGTCGTGGTGAAGTGCGCGGACTCTAATCTGAGAGAACCGGGTTTGATTCCCTAGTCCTCCACATGGATGAACTTGGGTAAGCCGTAGTTCTGATAAGAGCTGTTCTTGAAAAAGAGCAGTTTCTGTCAAGAGCTCTCTCAGCCCCTCCTACCTCACAGGGTGTCTGTTGTGTTCAGGGGAAGGGAAAGGAGTTTGTAAGCCAGGGTCCAGCTTACCTAAGGGACCGCCTTTCCCTATATGTTCTCCCAAGGGCACTACGATCTGGGGCAAAACATCTTTTGGTCGTTCCAGCCCCTAGAGATGTTAAATATGCTGCAACTAGGGCCAGGGCTTTTTCGGTGGTGGCTCCTATCTGGTGGAAGGAGCTCCCGGAGGAGATCAGGGCCCTGCGGGGCCTTATGCAGTTCCGTAGGGCCTGCAAGACGGAGCTCTTCCGCCAGGCTTTTGAGTAGGAGCCGCCACCGTCACTGTACCACCACCGCGTTGCCATCTGGGTGACGTGAACTGGCCTTGGGAATGGAGTGTGGACATGGTGAAGTACGATCAAGAAAAGACAGTAGTGCCCCCTGTAACGTGTATTGGAGTCCTCGTCTCGGGCAATATTATGTGAGCGCTGATTTTATATGTAAAATGTAATTGGATTGTTTTATCTGGTTTTATTGTTGTGTATGGCATTCGCCTCTTGTTAGCCGCCCTGGGCCCATGTGGAAGGGCCGGATATGAGTCTAATAAATAAATAAATAAGCCGCTCTCCCTTGGGTAGTAAAGGGCAGGGTATAAATCCAATCTCTTCTTCTCCTTTTCCCGAACCAGCACTGTAAATTTACCCATAACTGCCGAGTCCAACGTCTTCTCCAGGCGTGCTTCTACTACAGATATTGCCAGGCATTTCCTTTTCTATGCTTATATCGTTTTCACTGCCGTAGTCAAATATAGGAACAAAACGCCATAACATAAAAGGCTCTGGTTTCAAGCTGTATCTTAGGCCTTAGAATCTTCCACATTCCAGGGATTCACCCTACAGGGTTCTGCGCAACTCTGCCTCCTAGGGACAGGAGGGACCGTAGATCAGCGGCAGAATATGTGATTTGTGTGCCAGTTGAAAAAGACGCTTGGGCTGGGAAACGCATCTGCCTGAAGCCTTAGGGAACTGCTGGTTGTCGGAGTAGACAGTACAGAGCGAAACCAGCCAGTAGCTGGCCGTTGTAGAAAGCAGCTTTGTGTGTGTGATGCTAAAAGCTGCTAGGGGCTTTGGAGTGGGGCGGCTCAATTTGAGTCCAGTAGCGCCTTAGGGACCAACAAGATTTGGGGGGGGGTATTGTGACGTGCTTGCTTATAGGGGAAATGGTTGTACCTTTAAACACTCTCTGAATACATAAACGTGGTAGTTTTCTGCTGCCACCAGGAATTAAAAATTCCAAATCTCTCTCCTTTGGTAGTATAACCTAGGGTGTGGGCACTTCAGAGGACTATGTGGCCCTGAGGAAGAACTGTACTGATTTCTGGTATAGGTTTAAGCAAAAAATGATTTATTTAAGAAAGAACAAAATAGGTTTCTGGTTATTTTGAACTGTTGCTGAAGAAAGGAACTTGTAAATATAACTGGCAAAGCTTGGTGCCACAAACAGTCTCGCAGACTCCAAACTCCACTCTGATAGGCTTATACACTCAGTATACTCTCTCTCTCTCTCTCTCTCTCTCTCTCTCTCTCATATATATAGCCACACAGGCTGGTCTCTTTGTTTTATTCACACGGAATAGATTCAACTCTCTTAGTCACACAGACTAAACTGTTGGTCTTATTCACACAGAAATAGACTCAAAATCCCATAGTCACACAGACTATGTTCTCTCTTCAAACTTCACACACAGAATCTCTTCAAAACTCTTCCCTACTTGTCTCTCCTCATAGACACACACACACAGAATCCTCTCAGACACCCCTCCTCCCACACTCTCAGTCAGCAGCCAATCAAATCACACGTGTCTCCCTCTATCATTCTTCTCATTTTGCTGCAGTCAAACTAAACATTTAAAGGAACACACACACCAAAACATGAAATCATTACAGGTGTGATCTTTCAGGAGTCAAGGACTCCCTTCCTTGTACCTGACAAAGGGAACTTTGACTCTCAAAAGCTCATACCCTGAAAATCGTCTCGGTCTCTCAGGTGCCAATGGACTCGGATCGAGTTGTTCTACTGCGCGCCGAGACAGCTACCCCCTGGAACTGTCTTCATGGAACGGGGCAGTACCTCTGCACTGGCGACAGGCGGTTCTGTTTCTCATTTAGATCTGACCCAGGAATAGTTCTCTTGGCTCAGTGTCACTCCTCATCAGATGGATGAAGTTAAATAGAGCAAATCTAAATACAGACAAGAGCAAAGGTCGAGTCCAGGAGCACCTTAAAGACGGACAAGATTTCCAGGGTACCAGTTCCCGAGACTCGAGGCGGCCCTTCGTTGGATACGGATCTCAATTCCTGCTCGTATCTGACAAAGGGGAATTTGACTCTGGAGAGCTTATACCTCAGAAATCTGGTTGGCCTTTAAGGTCCCGCTGGACTTGAATCTTGCTCTTCTACGGCAACTAACATGACTACACACCTGAATTCAGACAAGATTGTTGCTTAGGCTGGCAGAAGTGATTAACTTGCAGCAGCTGAGAACTGTCATCTAAAGTCACAATTGAGAGATCTATCCTGGTAACCGCTTCCTGTTGGCTAAATGGCTTTTCTTTCTGCACCGAGAACTTCAGCCCCACCCGGAAAAAAATTTGCCCCACAAGATCCTGGTTACAGGCCTGATCCATTCCAAGTACCAATCCTGGTTAGCTCCCAAGATCTGACCCTAGGTACTGTGCCACCTCCCGTCCACATTTGCCCCTGCAGCTTCCTAAAAAAGCGGAGGTCTGGATTCTCATAACTTTCAATAACTGACTTGCAGAGAAGTCACCCTCTGGCTGCGCGGGCAGGACCGGTGCAACCCAGAGTGATCCAAGTGAGGGCCCGATCTGCAATCACACGACAGACAGGTACGTGCTATTATATTTGCCTCTTTTCCATATATCACCAGTTCACGTTGCATGGGATGGTTTCTTGTGTAGTGAGAGCCAGTTTGGTGTAGTGGTTAGGAGTGTGGACTCTAATCTGGGAGAACCAGGTTTGATTCCCCACTCCTCCACTTGCACCTGCTGGTGTGACCTTGGGTCAGTCACAAGCTCTGGCACAGCTGTCCTTGAAAAAGAGCAGTTTGTGTCAGAGCTCTCAGCCCCACCCACCTCACAGGGTGTCTGTTGTTGGGAGGGGAAGGGAAAGGAGTTTGTAAGCCGCACTGAGACTCTAAGTGAAGGGCGGGGTATAAATCCAATCTCTTCTCTTCTTCTTCTTGTGCTAAAATTAGGGTTGCCAGCTGTGGGGTTGAGAACTACCTGGAGATTTTGGGGGTGGAGCTTGAGGAGGGTGGGGTTTGGGGAGGGGAGGGGACTTCATCGGGGTCTAATGCCATAGAGGTCCCATGACAAAGCGGCCATTTTCTCCAAGTGACCTGATCTCTGTCACCTGGGCCTCGGTCGTGACTCCAGGAGATCTCCAGTTGCCACCTGGAGCAGGGCTCTTCTGATGTTCTAATGAAGGCCTCGGCCTCTCTGCCCTGTTGCTGGCCCTCCAAAGGAACTGGTTGGCCTCTGTGTGAGACGGGATGCTGGACTAGATGGGCCACTGGTCTGATCCAGCAGGGCTCTTCTGATGTTCTTATGAAGGCCTCGGCCTCTCTGCCCTGTTGCTGGCCCTCCAAAGGAACTGGTTGGCCTCTGTGTGAGACGGGATGCTGGACTAGATGGGCCACTGGTCTGATCCAGCAGGGCTCTTCTGATGTTCTTATGAAGGCCTCGGCCTCTCTGCCCTGTTGCTGGCCCTCCAAAGGAACTGGTTGGCCTCTGTGTGAGACGGGATGCTGGACTAGATGGGCCACTGGTCTGATCCAGCAGGGCTCTTCTGATGTTCTTATGAAGGCCTCGGCCTCTCTGCCCTGTTGCTAGTTTCACTGCCACAGGAGGTGGTGGCAGCTACAAGCACAGATGGCTTCAGTAGGTGATTGGATAAACA